CGAAATTCCCCCAAACAGTGAATTTTAATCACACTGCGACATAACAACTCGGATTTTTTTGTTCGATATTAACCCCCCCTTCGCCCGTTGCACGCGGATTAATGTTTCCATCGCATCAGGTCGTATCTCCGCTGAAGTTTCAGGCGGAAGGAGCCAACAGAACGACTTCCTTGGAAGTGAACAAGTGCACGCTCTGTGTTTAAGTAGGCGTGAACTTCTTTTTTCTTGTCCTAGCAATGCATCGCGACTCTTGTCCGCTGGACTGCAAGGTTTATGTGGGTAACCTTGGAAACAATGGCAACAAAACGGAATTAGAGCGAGCCTTTGGCTACTATGGACCACTGCGCAGTGTGTGGGTGGCGAGAAATCCTCCCGGTTTTGCCTTTGTGGAATTCGAAGATCCACGAGATGCAGCTGATGCAGTAAGAGAACTAGATGGAAGGTAAGATGTGCTGCTTGTATGTTTGGCTCGGCTTGTGAAAAAGAAATTTTGGGGTAGTTTTGCTGTGTAAATTGGAAAGTTTCAACTGTAGGGCCAAAGACTTGATGTGGTTGTTATGAAGTGTTTATTTGTGTGATCCAAGGGTTTTCTTAATAGTGCGGAAGTAGAATCTCAGAATGGTTTGAGCTGGAAGGGATCTTAAAGCTCATGCAGTCCCACCCCCTGCCATGGGCAGGGACACCTCCCACTAGCCCAGGTTGCTCCAAGCCCCGTCCAGCCTGGCCTTGGACACTTCTAGGGATGGAGCAGCCACAGCTTCTCTGGGCAACCTGTGCCAGGGCCTCAACACCCTCACAGGAAAAGATTTCTTCCCAATATCCAGTCAAAATCATCCTGATGCTATTCAGGAAGAAGGGCAGGTTAATTTTGCACTTCTGAATTGGACTCTCAAGTTAGAAATGATTTGGATGTCTGCATATGTGCTAAATTGAAGATAGTGTAACTATAAAGAGGTAAAACTGATTAGAGAAACTTGCCTTGGTTTCTTCCCTGCCTCCTTCACTGGCACAGTAGCTTTCAGAAGCAACCAAACCTTTCGTCTGCCCTAGAATCCCAGGCTGGTCTGGGGAGGAAGGGACCTTAGAACACATCTCATTCCACCCCTTGCTGTGGGCAGGGACACCTTCCACTAGGCCAGGTTGCTCAGAGCTCCATTCAGCCTGGCCTTGAACGCTTCCAGGGGTGGTGCAGCCACTGTCACACAGAAGTTGTTCTGAACACTTTTACTTTTGCCTGTAGACAGAATGTTTTTTACCTTGTCTGCTCCTTTTTTTTTCTCTCTGAACTTGGCAGCTTTTATTCCACGCTGCCTTCTCCCTGGAAACACTAACGTGCCCGTGTCTGTTCCCAGAACGCTGTGTGGGTGCCGGGTCAGAGTGGAGCTCTCCAACGGGGAGAAGCGGAGTCGGAACCGCGGCCCCCCTCCCTCGTGGGGCCGGCGTCCCCGGGACGACTATCGCAGGAGGAGTCCTCCCCCTCGGCGCAGGTACCTGGGGGCACAGCACACCTAGAGCTCTTGGCACTGTTACCACTGTAGCATCCTAGAAGCAGGCTTGTTAAAGGCATGTTGATGGATAACGTTCATCTATCTGATCATGATTTGGAGATGACAAATGCTGAAAAAAAAAAAAAAAGAAAAAAATCCCCAAATCAACCCCTCCACAAAATCGAGGTGAACTTTAAGTTGTGTTGAATGTTGGCTTTTGTCCTTAGGTGACTGTGCAGTTGGTAGTCAGTGCCCTCTGTCCTGGGCTTATCCTCATTCCTCCTAAAATCTGCTCGTCTTCTAGTCACACTTTCCCTTTCTTCCCCATACTTCAACTTAGGCTGTTCCATTCCTTTATTCCATAATGGCAGAACATGACATACAGCAGTTTAGCATTTCCATACCGATGGGTTTCTCCGCTTTGTTTGCAGAATTTAAATACTTCCCAAGCAGGCAGCTGTTTAATAATGGATCAAGTAACAGTTGCTTTAAACATCTGGAATCTTTACACTTTAGTGTTAGAATTAAAGCATCGTGTGATATTCCTGTCAGTTGAGGTTTGCAAACACACCTCTAATATATAGCAGGACTTTTGGGAACTGGCACGTTCTTGGACCCAGACTAGTTAGTCTGGCTGTTCAGATGTGCAGCGTGGTTTTTACAGGACTGAATTTACCTGTGGCAGGTGAGTGAAGTCCTCCCGAGTCAGGGTTTTCAAGCTTACCCTTTTGCTGTTGAAAAGAAAAAAAAAAAAATAACACATTAGGAGTATTGTTAGCTAATAGATGGTTGTACTGATGGCTTGTTTTTCATTTTTTTTATGCTTTTTGGTCCATCTATTAATAAAAATGAACCCGTTACAGAGTCACCATCATGTCTCTTCTCACCACCCTCTGAGTCTGCATTAGCCAGCCAACTAGCCCTTTCAGCGTCATGTGACCAGCGCGCCCCATGCAGCTTGGCTGGTGTCGTTTCACATGACCCAGGCATGGCCAGTCGTCAGGTTGCACCGCCCTTTGGTTCCCGAGCATGCTGTTTTCTCTCAGCCTTCTCTCCAACCTTAACCAAATCGGCAGCAGCCACCTCGACCGCCCACACATTCCCGGCCAATCAGCTCAGCTGTTTATTTACCAAATGTCTTCACAACAACTACAGCAGCAGCCTTCGGCTAACAAAAAAGCAGGAAAAATCCACAACACCCCCTTCGCCAACCAACTAAATACAACGCAACATCTGGCAAAACCTTTTCAGCAAATTCTTCTTGGCAGTCAGTCCGGCAGCCTCACCTCACCATTTCTAGCTTGTTGAAACCAAAGACTTGTAAGTTTTTCCTGCTTATACAGTTTACTGCTGGTTAAAATAAGGAGTAAGCGGCTTATAAGTAATTACTTTTCTCAATCAAAGGCTGGCTGTGCATAATTGAGTGGTAACGTACATATGTTGCTTGAGAAAACTTTTAAGGGTGATATGGAAGCTCTTACACTGTGAATAACGTAAAAACCAGGATATTTGCATGTGAGATGCCAAACTAAATTTTTAATAAAGCTCTAACAAATGTAGCTTTTCCTTGCCAGAAAAATCCTATCACCTTTAAATGGTTTTACTAACAGTTTTCAAAACTTAAAACAATTACTTTTTGGGATGAACTGGGCCGAGCTAAGGTTATATTTTTAATTTTTTAATTTTTTTATAAGAAAATAGTCTAAACACACTCGATGGCATTAAAAATGACAATCACAAATATGCAGTTCTAATGTAGCACTTAATGGCATTATCAAATTGACACTGAGCGCATTTTCACTTTTTTTTCCCACTTGATATCTCTTATGCCTTGTTACGGACCTTTTTGGCTTGCATGGGTTCCAAAACATTTGCTCTGTGCTATTTTTTTTTTTTATTTTTATTTTTTTTTTTGGAACCACTTGTGGGACTTTGGTGTGGTGTTCTGGGCAGTGTATTTAGTTGAAATGGAAAGTGTTGCATTGGACAACTCTGCTCTGACGCATTCTTAGTTAAAGTGAATTCGTGGTTGGAAACGTGCTGTTCACACTGAGCTTGGTTTTACTGCCTAATCTTTCCATGCCTTTTACTGGATGATGGATGCCAGTTATTCTTGGCACGTTCCCTGGGCCCAACAGTGAGTTTGACAAGTTGGGAAATGCCTCACCCCGTTAATGCTCAAAGAATGGATAAAGTGCCTCACATCTGGTTTTCTGGTTTTAGATCACCACGAAGGAGAAGCTTCTCCCGGAGCCGCAGCAGGTACGAATCCCCTCCTTACCCCACGGACTGCTCTGGCCTGGAGGGGTGAAAAGGAGCAGCCCAAAACAGCCCCATGTGCTGTGCACATTCAGACCATAGTTTGGTAAAAAGGAAATAGGTTTGCTTCTGCCATGTCGTTTGCCTGGAATTACTCAGCTGTTTGAGATTCCAGAGTTAGCAGTGGAAGGATATTAAGAATAGAAGTATTTTCCATTCTGCAGCTGCCCTGTGGTTTTCTGCCAGTTTTTCCACAGAGTTTGTGTTAATGTGCTGCTCTTTGCCAGAAGTGTAGAATCACAGAACCATTTGGGTGGGAAAAGACCTTCAGGATTGAATCAGCCATAAATCAGGATGGGGATGAGGTTGGATTCTGCAAAAAAACCTGCTGCAGAGGACTAGGTGCCTGTGCACAGCACAGCATAAGCTGTTGGCTCAAGCTGATCTTCTTCCCTGAAGGGAAGGTTAATGGCATCTGCAGCAGGTTTCCTCTGGTTGAATAGTTCAAAAACTTCACTCCTGAAGGGAAGCTTCAGGAGCCTTGTTGGCCTAATTGAGCTTTGCTCTGATCATGTGGTGGTGTGATCTGTACCAGGTCCCTCTCCAGAGACAGAAGAAGAGAGAGATCACTCTCACGGGAGAGGAACCACAAGCCTTCTCGCTCCTTTTCCAGGTCTCGCAGGTAAGAAGAGTCTTCCAGTACTTGTGTTCTGAGTAAACATGTAAAAATGACTTCCTGTGCCTTGGTAATACTGATAAAGGTGGTGGTGGAGAAATACCTCCAGTATCTTACAAGGTTCTTCACCTTGAAGAATTAAATACTCAGTTTTATTAAATGAACAGTATCTTTTAAATGCTTTAATATCTGCTGATGGGGACTGGGGGTGTTTAAAGGAAAATCTGCTGCTCTTGGCACCTTGGATTTAACCAAACCTGCCCTGTCTGTTGTCCTTCAGTCGCTCCAGGTCAAATGAGAGGAAATAGGACTGTGGGAAGGAGCTGTGTACAGGAAGTCACCAGGTCCGAGGCCAGGAGTATGTACAGAACATTGTTTTGTTTTGAAACTTCATAAAGCTTGGTGCATTTTTAAAATGTTTTAGCTGTTGAACTTGCTTTGTTCCTTGTATCTTGTAACAGGTGGCAAATGTAAAGATGTGAATCTGTATATGGTTCTGAGCAGATCCTATGATTTGTATTATTAATGGTTTTCCAATGTACCATCAGACATGGTGTGTGTGTGGGTGTGTGTGTGGAATGGTAAATGTTCTGTGTCCGTAGCTGGGGGGGTTTGCTGGGGCTCAGCTCTCAAGGAAGTGTGCTGGGATGGTGTGTTCCTTGTGGAATTGTGGCCTGGAACAGAGCAGGATGTGGGTGCTCCATGGCCCAGTTGCAGGGAAGAGTCAGAGCAGCGAGCCAGTGGCACGGGGAGGGAAGGGCTGGGCTGCAGCTTCATCCAGCTCCAGTTCTGACTGCATTACTTGGAACTGAGCTGCTTTATATTCCATGAATTACAAATTTTTAGCTGTAGGATCAGTTAATTTTGTACTTGGTGTGAGTAGAGTCCTTAATTAGCCGATTGTTGATTGACCATCTATTCCAGAGCCTCTGAATAGACCAAATCCACAAGCAGAACTGACACCTGGAGTGGATGTGTTAAGTGTCTGATGGTACATTGTAAACTTTAGGAGTTAAACATTTCTTTACTGTAAAAGACTTTTCATGTCACTTGTAAAATGTCTTTTGTGAGATCCTTGGGATTAAAGCTTTGGTTACAACTCGTTGTTTGGTATTTACTCGTACCTGACTGACAGTCACCACACCTGGCTATATATAGCTCACCTGAACTGTCCAGCAGGGCTGTACCTGCAGTCTCTGCTCACCTCTGCTCCTCAGGGAATTCCACGGGAATCCAATCCCTTCAGCCAGGGTGGATTCAGGAGCTGATGGCACTTCTTGCCCAACAGGGATCCCCATAATGCTTCCTTGGAAAACCAGCTAGAGATGCAAGGGTTCACTGGCTTTGCATCTTGGGTGTGGGTTGGGCACAGCATTGAAGGTGTTCTTCCTTCCTCAGTTTGGGAATTACTGGTCTGGAAACCAGAGCGTTGCATGAAGATTCACTCCCTGTAAAACTGTGCCACGACTGGAGAGCAAGTGGATGTCCCACACTGCCCTGTTCCCTTGGTCCTGTATCCAAGAGAAGATGTGCTCCATTGGTTCAGTTGTGTGGTTTAGATATTAAATCCCTCACACTGAACAGTCTGAGGATGGAATTTCTTTCACTGGTGCTGTCCAGGCAAGGACAAGGTGATGGTGAAGCTGTAAAGGAAGGACCTGCTGGTGCTGCCCCCTTGGCTGCTGAGTTCAGTGTCTGGATTGATTTTTTAATTACTCAGTACTATTTGTGGTTGGGCTTGATCTTAAAGGTCCTTTCTAACCTAAACGAGTGATTCTCCTGAGCAGTTAATGCTGTGTGTCACTGAAATGCAGGTGAACTGGGAAGGCAGAGGCAGGTTCCCTGGCTCTTCCCTGCCCCTCTTTTCCGTGAGGAGGACCCTGTTTCACCGCGGAGGGTGAGGGAGCAGCGGGTGGAGCCGGCCCGGGCCGTGCACTGCTGCGGGCCCCCGGCAGAGGTCAGGGCGGGCCCGGCCCGGGCGGCTCCTCCGCGCCGGGGCTGGGCCGCGTTTGCTCCCCAAGTGCCACATCCCGACTGTGCCGGCGCTGCCCAGGGGCGTGCACAGCCCTGTTCCCTTTCCCTGCGTGCTTCTGGCGGCGTCTGAGGTGTGGAAGGGTCACAGCCTGTGGTGTCTCACGGCTGTTCCTCCTGTGGTTACGTGGGGGGACAAGGAGCCTTCAGTTGTTTCAGCTGCTGCAGGGACAGAAATCTGAAGTGCCAGCGGGGAAGCAGGTGGTGGTTTTCATACCCAACAGAGTCTGGGGAACTGGAAGTATTTCAGCTTCGGGTTTCTGACTATTTTGCTCCTCAGCTGAATAAGGAAGCTGCCTCTTTGATCAGAACTCTGCTGGTTTTATATAATGGGGGGCACTGAAGGGAAACAAAGTAAGTAGCTTCTAGAGAAAGATGGGAAATATATAAATATGTAAAAATGCTGACTGATCAGCCCTTCCCCCAGGGTGTAATTAGCAAGAGTTATTTCTTATGCAGCAACACATTCATGGATTTCAGGCTTCCCATTCCTTTCTGGGAGGGAGGGACCGACCTGGGAGTGTGATTTACAGGTAGAGCCTTGTGGCTTGTGTTTAATTCTCTGAAATTAAATGTACAAGGAAGTGTTGGTGTTGTAAGACCAGGGACAGCCCTTGCCTCTCTCCAGAGATTCTGAAACCAGGAAAAGCCACCAAGCAGTGTGTCCTGGCCAGGAGAGGACAGAGGGACACTATCCAAGGCTCCTTGGCAGCACCCCATCCTCAGCCACAGCCCTGCTCTGAAGACCCCAGGGGTGGTGGGTCACTCACTGCTGCCTGACACCTTCCAAGTTGTCCCAGTGTCCTATTTCATGGTGTTGACAGTGATCTCAGCTGTGTTTCTAATTAGAGGAGAGGTTTAGCTGCCCCAGCTTCAGGCAGGAGCATCCTGGGGTTAATCCTGAGTTCTCTCAGGCTCCTCAGCAGTGCCTGAGCACATCCCAGAGGTTCTTTTCTCACACTGTCCCCGGGGAGATCATTGTGTGCAAATGGGTTTGGGAAGAAAAGGATCTTGTTTTTTTTCTTTTTATGTCCATGCTGCTCCTTATTTATGACAGAAGACCATGTTAAGAATGTGCCTTGCACTTAGAAAAGGGAGAGGTTAAGGATGTTCCTGGTTTTGTTGGCAATTTGTTCCACTGACCTTTGGGCAGGGTCGTGTTTGGGTGAGGAGTTGTGGCCCTCCCCAATAATGACAGTGCTTTTGGTTAAAAAAGCTGTGTTTCAGCTACTCTGGAGAGCTGCTGCAGTTCAATGTGCAGGATGACATGTCCACATCCACGTGGTAGTTGTGACAGGAAACTGGAGAAAAGCAATGCTGACAGACAGTGTTAGAAAAACAAGGTAAAAAATTTCCTTGAAAAACGAAGTGAAGTATTTGCAACATTAGTTTTTGTCTGTTCCACTCAAATTCACCAGGTTTTGGGCTACAAGTGACCCTCTTCAGAAAGCTGAAGGAAGCCAGTGTAATCATATTCAGTGCTAATGTCAAAATTGAGCCTTGGGAAGAGTTGCAGCCAAGGCCCAGTTTAGGGGGAGAGCCTGGTAATTTCTGCTTTCTCCTCTATTAAACTGATTTGCCTCCTTGCTAAAAGAGCAGAAAAGAACTTCAGAAGTCCAGAGCCTAATGTAGTAGCTTTTATTTTTCTCTTGGACAAGCAGGTGTGCTGTGTTATCCCCCCCTCTTCCTCCAAACCCCACCTGGTTGTGGAGCTCTGCTCTTCTTGTCCTCCAGCCATACCAGGAACTAAAATACGTTACTGATGGAAGATCCTTGTGTTTCATCCTTTCTCTGCCTTTGCATTTTCTTTTGGTTGAAGTCAGAGGAGATCAGAGAGAACCACACAGTGCCTGTAGATGTTGTGCACCAGCCCTGGAGCAGGTTACAGGTTCTTATCTCTGAACTTCTTCGTGGGGACCTGCCAGCAGAACCCACCTCTGGACGTGACCAGTGCCTGAGCAGTTCTGCAGCCTTTTTCTGCTGTTATCACCTCTTTTCAGCTTCTAGTTTTACTTTCATCTGCCATTATCTCATCACCTTGAGATGCCTCCAATGTCTCCTGACATAAAGATCCTCAGAGTGTCTGAACATTTGACAAACTTCCCAGTTTCTGCCGGATTTAATCCCTGTCCTGTACCCACATTCAAATCCTACACCAGAAATACCACCCAAAACCTGAGCTGCAGTCCCCACCACGAATCCCCCTGCTCTGGTGCTGTTGTAGTGCAGAGTCTCTTGGCTGGAAAAGGAAAAACACTGAAAAAACCGGGGCATCAACCCCTTTTGCAAACAGAAGGCCGAAGGGCAGGAGTGCAATTCCAGTCGCTCCGGTTCGACCTTAGCTCCCACACATGAGGTGCTGGCACAGGGCTGTAAAGGGGCAGGTCTGCATTTCCCTGGTGCTGGAATGCAGCTGGCTCCCATTTCACACCTCAACCTGCCAAGGAGAGGCAAAATAAAGCCAATTTTGGCTTTGGCAACGTTCACAGTCAGCCGGTGAAGCGGCTGCCGGAGCTGAAGCCGCATCCCCTCTGCGTGAGGAGTGTTCTGGCTTCCTAGAAACAGTCACTGTCTGGGGTGGCTCTTTCATTTCTGCAGCTTCACTGGGGCACGGCCACAAGTTCTCTCTGTTAGTGCCCTTCAAACAAACACTGTTGGGGACTAAAATAAACACGAGATCCAGACAAATATAAAGTAGACGATGCAAGAGGAACGCTATGTTCGTTCCCAAGTGATTCATCCGGCTATTATTTAATAATTTAGTGTCTGACATAACTTGGGAGTTGAACAAATCTTCACATCGATTCGGGTGGTGTTTGTGCTTGGTCCTCTAAGTAAGATTTTCTGTGGGAGTGATCCCAGCCAGGAAAGGGAAGTGTGTGTCCTTCCCAGATAGATTCTGTCACTGATTACAATGGTATTACTCCTTGACTACCAGAGGATTCATCCTGCTACAGTCAGATTGTTGTCCCCAGGCATTTGCTGGACAACACAGACACTGACAGGCTGTGATGGGCTGATGGCACCACCCCCAAAACAACGAGGACGTGGTGTGACAGGCCCTGGGCAGCCCCAGCCCTCCCTGCTATCAGGGTGGGGCAGTGGTAGCAGGGTGGGGCACTGTGTCACCCTGGGTGTCACTTGGGAAAATCAGCCCTGCCAGCTGTGAGACAGGCATTATCTCCCCGTGGGCAGAGGCTGCTTAGAACATGAATATTCAACAATATTCATCAGGAAGACCCAGCACTGTCCAGCCTTCCCCACTGACTGACAGCTCAACGTCAGTGTTTGCAGTCACTGTTTCATAAAATCCCAGACTGGTTGGCATTGGAAGAGACCTTAAAGCTCATCTCATTCCACAGCCCTTCCACTAGCCCAGGTTGCTCAGAGCTTCGTCCAGCCTGGCCTTGGACACTTCCAGGGTGGCAGCCACAGCTTCCCTGGGCAGCCTGTGCCAGGGCCTCACCACCCTTTCAGGGAACATTCCTCCCAATATCACACCTAACACTGCCCTCTGGCAGTGGGAAGCCATTCCCCCTTGTCCTTTCCCTCCAGTTCTGGATGAAGAATCCCCCTCCCCTTTCCCTGCAGCCCTTCAGGCACTGGAAGGTGCTGTGAGGGCTCCATGTATTTCTGACTAACCCCAGTGGTTTTGCTCTGCCTGCCCCGGGGCCGCGCCTTCCTGGTGCTGGATTGATCAGCTTTTCATGCACTTGTACTATAAACTTTGTGGGAGGAGGCTGCCCCAGCTGGGGAGATAGGCTGGCTCCAGGTGTGTCCCCTGCAGCTCCTGCCAAGTTGTCCCTCAGCTGCCTGGTGACACGTGCCGCTCGGAAACTCGTGGGGGAAAGTTCACCAGAAGTGGACTCAGGAGTTCCCCTGCGCAGGGGACATTTGGCAGGGACCCGTGGGGTATTTTTTGACCTGTAGACATGTTTTTAGGGCTTCAAGTTTCTTAGAATCACAGAGTCATTTAGGTTGGAAAAGCCCTCTAAGTTCAAGTCCAGCCGTTCCCCCATTGCCGTGTTCACCACTAACCCGTGTTCCCAAGTGCCACGTCCACGCTTTTCT